GGCTATAACAGTACAAAGCAGCGAGGCAAGGAAGACTGTGAAGCAAACGAAGTAGGCTGGATGGCAGGGAGTCCTTCGGGACATCCGTTAAAATTGGAACAATCCGCGGAAGATTCGTATGGCCCCTGCGCAAGGACAGCACACATTAAAAAAGGAAAAGAAAAGAAAAAAGGTTGGAACTTGGAGGGCAGGGGGAGGCGGGTGGGCAGGCAAACAGCACAAAGCAGCGAGGCACGAAAGATGGTGAAGAAACAGAAGACATAGGCTGGAGGGCACGGGGGAGGTGGGTGGGCAGACAAACAGCACAGGACAGTGAGTCAAAAGGTAGCAAGACAAAAGAACAGCAGGCAAGAAGACCCCTCCTGCCATCCCTCACTTGGGGTTAGCTCCTACCGTCTGCACCCGAATAGAACACCCGGTCATTATAGCCGTATTTGGTGCAATTTTCAGTCGAGATACGGCTATAATGACTGGGCGTTCTATTCGGGCGAAGACGGTAGGTCTGGTGGATTTCAGGTGCTCCACCCGTCCTCCTCTTGCCACCCCCTCCTCCCCCCTCATGTCCTCCTCCCTCCCCTGCTCACCTCCTTCTCCCCGCCCACTTCCTCCTCCTCTGTTACCTACTCCTCGTTCCGCTCATCCGGCTTCTACTCCGGCAGCGCATGCTGCTCTCCCTCCCGTTTCTCCTCCACTCGTTGTGGCACGGGACCAGGAGGAGGAGCAGGAGGAGTGGGAGGAGCGGGAGGAGGAGCGGGAGGAGGAGGGGCGGGATGGAAGGTGGAGATGGGGCGGTAGCCCATTCATCCCCGCTGCTCATCCTCCCCCTCCTCTTCCCGCTCCTCCTCCCGCTCCTCCTCCCGCTCCTCCTTCCGCTCATCGTCCTACCTCCTCCCAATCCTCCTCCTTGATGCTCATCGTCCCCGTCCTCGTTCCACTCGTCCTTTCATTTTTGTTGTCGTCCTCGTCTCGCTCATCCTCCTCCTGCTTCTCCTCATCCTCCCGGTGGTCATCCTCTGCCTCCGGGTTCCGCTTCTTCTGCCTCTTCCTCCCAATGCCGTCCAATCTCCTCCTCCCATTCGTCGACCTCCTTCCATTTGCTGTCCTTCCCCTCTGCTCCTCCTGTTCACCGTTCTCCCATTCTTCCTCCTCCTCCCACTCGTCGTCTTCCCCCTCTTCATTGCGATCCTCCGGCCGCTCCTTGTCCCGTTCGTCGTCCACCGCCGTCTTCCCTCTCCTCTGTGCACTCCTCCTTCTGCTACTCATTCTCCTCCTGTTTGCGGTCCTCGACCTCCTGTTCACTGGGCTTCACTCCAGTGCTCACCAAATGTGCCAAATGAGAATGAATCTTCCGCTGGAACATGAGAAGATACACGGCCATATTTTGTCTTTCCTGCATGTGGTGAGTAGTGGAGCTGGCAGATTGGTGAGCAGTGCAGCAAGGCCCCACCCTTGCTATGTACTTGTAATATCGAACGTGGATGTGGCCACCCAAAAAAGAGAGAACTTGTGAAACCACATGCGGCTGCCCAAAACAAACAGAAGAAAACAAGCACAAAACGACATCCGCCTGCATCGCCCCCCGGCTGCTATGTACTTGTATTCAAACATGAGCGACAGCGGTCATTTTCAAATGCCGCGTGGCCCACCCGGTCCCACTCCCTCCGCAAATTTCCACGGGCCCACGAAAAGCATCACGCGAGGACCGCTTTTCGCTTTATAAATACAGAGTTAATTATAGAGATATGTTGCATACCCCGAAGGTCGGCGCCCCTTGACCAGCCAACCTCCAATACCCCCATACACCCCCTCAAAACCCC